TCTTTCTTTCTTTCTTTCTTCCTTCCTTCCTTCCTTCCTTCCTTCCTTCCTTTCTTTCTTTCTTTCTTTCTTTCTTTCTTTCAGGAGGTTAATTTATGAATAATTCTGTTGATGCTCAAAACAGCGTGAGCAACCCTGACACCACGCTATGTGGTGGTACCATGCCCTAGAGCAAAAACAATCTGTAGCCATCCATTTTTAAGTGATCCGGCATCTGCAGTTTAAGCTCTAGATTGGTTCTAAATATCACTGATTAAATATAATCCTAATTGTCCGCCGTTAAGTAAAATCGGAAATAAAAATCTTTTTCTCATAAGTGCTTTACCCTTCCCTTCCTCTAGGGGCGCTATGGGACTGTGCAGCTCGCCCAAGGCCACCCAGGCTGGCTCTTCTCTCAGGAGGCCCAGTGGAAGGAATCGAACTCAGAACCCCTGGCTCTGCAACCAGAGACCTAAACCACTGAGCTATCCAGCCAGCTAATGGAATATAGCACTGGAAAAAAAAATAATAGACAACATTTCTGTTGTGTTTTTATAGCCACGCCTTGTGTGTTGCTAACTCAGCAAGGAAATCACCTCCGTCTGACTTGGCTCCTACTTACAAGCCACATGTAGATAATGTAATGAGGTCTGCCTGACGTCATGTAGGTGTACAAGACCAGGTAACAATCTCCACCGTAAAACTGCCCGTAGGTTCTCGGATTTACTGGGGCCATCTCGAGGTTCTCGATCCTCCATACCTGAAGAATAAGGGGTTGGGGGGGGGGAAGGCAAATGGAGTATGAAATGGCAAGGCTATGGAGGGGATAGAGGTAAAATATCTACAACACTGGGCAAGCTACATGAAAAACCACATTCGTTTCCTGAAATTAATTGTATGACTCAGAGCCGCAGGCTATCTGTGTTGCCCCCCTCACCCGTTCTCCTAATAAGAACCTGTGTTTTTCCCTGTGAGGAGGGGAAGGCAACAGCAGCCATAGTAGTACAGTAAGACACACACACCCAAAATCTGCAGGGCAACAGTTCCAAGCTGCCAACGAATGCTGAAAAACACCGGCTATAGCAAATTCTATTTTAATAGCGAATGCTATACATTGCATGATCTCTGCCTCCATCTAATGGGCAATTAGGGTACTTCGTCTTTCACAACCTACCATATTTTTCCGTGTATAAGACTATACTTTTGTCTAAAATCTTTAGACTAAAAATTGAGGGTCATCTTATACACGGAAGTAAGCCGAGGAAAGAACAACGCCAAGTGGAGTGGAAAGCAGGGATCAAAGTGATCCTGCAGGGCTTTGATCCCTGCTTTTCCCTCCACTTGCTAAGCCCCACATAGATTTTGGGTTAGAAAAGTGGGGGGGGGCGTCTTATACATGGAAAATCCAGTATATTTCTAGGATTTTTAAAAATATATTTTTAATATTTTCGGACCATGGATCAGTGAATCAAGGGATACAGATCCTGCAGATCAGGGGGTCCTAATATTTTCAGACCATGGATCAGTGAATCAGGGGATACAGATCCTGCAGATCAGGAGGTCATCCTGCAGTTCAGAAACACAGCATGGGCGAGATCCTGAACCTTCCTCCCTCTGTTACTATTGCTCTGGCCAAATCCATTTCCTGCAACTGCATAGAATCAAAGACCTGCAAAATAGGGGATTCTAATGTTTTAAAAAACGAGATCCTGAACCTTCCTCCCTCTGTTACTATTGCTCTGGCCAGATCTGTTTCCTGCAGCTGCCGGAAGCAAAGACCTCAAAAATAGGGGATTCTAATGTGAACCTTTAAAAAACAAAACACCCTCACTTCATCCCATAAAATTTGCAAAACAGATACGTTTCAGAGCTAACCCCATACATATTTTCTGTTTTCAGCGACATGGCTGGATTGACGACACCACCTCTCTGATTCTAGACCTGCTCATTTCTGTTCTGCTTCTGCTGCTGGTCTGCTTCCCAATGACCTCCTGATCTGTTGTAAGCTATGTTCTTTCCCAGTTTTTATACCTGATCGTACTCCAAAATCTTGCCCGGGAAGCAAGTCCTTGCCAGGTGACATTGCAGAAGGAATAAAAATGCACCAGGGCACTATAGAATTCTTTGCATTTCTTTGTTGAATCTAACAGACTTTGACGGAGGTTGACGGAGTGCCATCATGTTGAAAGCGTCTACTTGTTGCTTCCAAAATGGCAGACCAACCCTTCAAAGGAAGTCTGAAAAAAAGACAAGAGCACTTACTTCCACTTTCCCAGAAGCGTCGTCAACCATCCGCTGCTCTGCGGCTAACTCAGGTCGCGCGTGGAGCTGTGTGACGTCGAACTGGACTTGCTCCACCTTGGCTGTGGGAAGAACCAAAACGGGGGGGGGGATCAAGGGGCCAAATGGGCCATGGATGCATTCTTTTGGAGTAAGACATGCCATACGGTCTGGGTTGTATATATTCCTGGTTATCAGAAGTCCCGGTAGCGTGTAATACCTGAGTGAACACTTTGTTCGCGCTTTTTAAAAAAGCAGGTTTGTAGCCCTCATGGAAAACCACGCTGTCAGTATTTGGCGAAATCTCGGAAGCTGTGGAAGGTGGGCATGTATACGCTTTCGTGCCTGTGAATTTAAACACTTAAAGAAAGCGATATGACACCTTTTTTTCTTTTGAGGGAAATATTCCCATGGATGGGATCTTTCATGGGAAAGAAAAGAGTGGGACAACATGAGGATCTTTCATGGGAAAGAAAAGAGTGGGGCAACATGATCTCTCTCTCTCTCTCTCTCCTCTTCCTCTTAGATTAAATTAAATTAAATTAGATAAATTATTAATCTGGACGACAACGTCTAGAATTCCATAACCAAAGCAAAGAAGAAGAAGAAGAAGAAGAAGAAGAAGAAGAAGAAGAAGAAGAGCAAAATGTGCTGCTTATATACCATTTCATCATACTTCTGGGCGAATGACAATTTAATGATGCGAGCTACACCTTGCCACCTTTCCCCCAGTGACCTCGGTGCTCAGTTTACCGATCCTGGAAGGCTGGAAGGCTGAATGAACCTTGAGCTGGTTGAACCTCAGGCCGTGAGCAGAGTTTTGGCTGCAGTGCTGCAGTTTAACCACTGCGCCACGAGGTCTCCCAGCACAACCACTGGAATTCTGAGAGTTTCTGTACAAGATTTTACAGATGTTTACATTGCTTTTAATGTTGTTTTTAAATACTATAAGTTTATTTTATTTTTACTACTACATTTATATAGCATTTTAAATCTCTCTGTGTGTGATGGCATTTATATAGCATTTTAAAACTCTCTCTGTGTGATGGTCTTCTCCGTTGTGAGCCACCTTGGGTCCCCTATGGGGGGGGGGAAGGCATAGAAAGAAAGAAAGAAAGAAAGAAAGAAAGAAAGAAAGAAAGAAAGAAAGAAAGAAAGAAAGCCTAGCCCTGGGCTCAGCCCGTGTGATTTCTTTTGGAAAAATTCCTTTTTAAGGCACTCTCACTCCCAGAATCCCCCGAGGGAGCAGAGGCTGGCGTTTCTCCCTCACCTATCTTCCCCACGTTGTGGGTCTTCCCCAGTCCTTGGGTCTCGTCTTTTTCTACCCACTTCTGGAAAAGATGCTTAAACATGGCCGATTCGGCTCCGTCGTTGATGACTTCGACGTTCGTGGTGGCGGGATAGCCTTTGGCTTGGATGAAGCCCTGGAAGGAGTCCATACAGGTGATCAGCTACGCTGACCAGTCACCAGCGAGCAGGGGGGAAGACATCGGTCAAGTGCCGAGGGGGAACGGGGCGAACCCTGGGTGACTTGGACCCCTCCCCCCAGGGAAGAGGGGAAGGTGTCAAGAATAGACTTCGGTCTAGATGGGCAGGGTATAAATCAAATAAATCAAATAAATCAAATAAATAAATAAATAAATAAATAAATAAATAAATAAATAAATAAATAAATAAATAAATAAATAAATAAATAAATAAATAAATAAGGCTTGCTCTCCCATTCTGGGACTTTAAATAAATTAAATAAATAAGGCATGCTCTCCCATTCTGGGACTTTATAGGACAAACACACCAGTTGCACAGGATATAGCAACTGGCCACACTTCATTCTGTGCCTTTTTGCTTTGGGTCTTATTTCTGCTTTCCTAATTACCTTTCTATCCACCGTTTCATTTTCTCAACCAGCTTTCAAGGTAGAATAGGCTGGAGTTTCATTTTGCAACCTTGCACATGATCCCTACTTTGTGTGACGGAGAGGGACTCTTCTGGGCTGGAGTGATGGTCCGTCTGTTCAACACTAACCGACCGTTCCTTCCAGCCCTGGAATTCAAAGAGAGTCTCGCCTCTCTGCTGGGCGTCTTTTTCCTCTCTTTCCTGGGTGGCTGGCAGTTATTAGTTTGCTCTTGATCAGTTCAATTGTTTTTTTTAAAAAAACCCTTTCTAGTATAAATGTCTCAGAGTAAATTACTGAGACTTTAGCACTAGTCAATGAGAAAGGGGTGGACTATGGGGAACTTGGAGCTATTCTCCTCTGTGGGTCTCTGTACTTCTACTGTGTAGCAAAAGAAATTGATCAGAAATTGAAAAACTCTGCAATAGATTAAGCTGAGGGAGAGTTATTTCCCTATAATCATTTTGAAGAGGCCGAGAAAGGACCTGGTGGGGTTAACGAATGAGCAGAAGCTCAGATTCATTTCTTCGTGGTCTCAGTCTGATGCTTTGTCTGCAACACAGACGGCTGTGTCTCCACTGTTTCTGACCCGTGCTTTAATATCCTGTCTTGTTCTGATTAGAGTTCTACTTGTCTCTTTTTTAAGGGGCAACAGAAATCAAATTTTTTGTGTGACTCTATCAGGGCGGAACTCACCACTGCTCGGCTGAAGGCAGCTTTCCTTTCGTCTTTGCTGGAATTCTTTCCTCGCCAGACGTAAATTTTATAACCTCCCTGGTCCAAAATGTGGCAGTCCTGTAAAAAAAAGTGATGGGTTCAAAAGAAATGAAAAACCTGCACAGGATTTGAATCCATGCCTCTGAACATATTATTTACCCATTTACTATTGGAGAAAATAACAATCTTGCATGCAACCTAGCACTGGATTTCAGTGGGTGGATGAGGGGCTTCACAGTCTATGTCATGCAACTAATATATTAGCAAAGTCCTCTTCCATGGGCTTGAGGCAAGTTCCTGCCCCCTCTTACTGTTTGTTCCTTTTCACTGTTTGTTGCTTCTTCTGCTCCTGACCTCTGACTATGTGGCTGCAATGGTGGACTGAGTCCTCACATGGTTCAGGCTGCAATTTCTTTCTTTTTTCCTTTATTTTATTTTTCTGATTGTAACTGAAGACTAACTGTAAGTAAAGATGCTTTTCTTCTCAAGTTACTTGTAGAGTGATTTTTGTATACAAAGGGCTAGTCATTGTGAGAACAAAAGGGTGCTCGCTGGAAGCTAGGATTTTTAGCTATTCTCCTTCATGCTTCCCCTGTGCTGCAGCAGTTTGTTTCTGTACTTTATGCTCTGCTAACTCAAATGGAATTAACCAAAAATTCCTCCAATCTTTACTAGGCAGCAAAAAGAGGTGAACATCATGCTTATCCCACACAAGCTATCTGCCACCTTACCTCATGCTGTAGGAGGTCTTGCGTAAGGGGCCGGGTAGCAATTTCTTGAACCACTAAATCTTTGCCATTTTCGTAAACACTACAAGAAAAGGAATTGACATTGTAAAAGCAGTGGGACAAAGTTTTGGGCTAGGAATGGGTGCTTATCTCCTCTGAGGATGATATTGTGGGAGGGTAGTTTGACAAATCCGCTCCGGGTTTTAGTCTGAACTTAAGGGGAGGTGCAGACATCACGGCACCAATTCGCCACACCCAAGAAAACTGGAAAGACCTGCCCCCAATATTTGTCACTCCAGACATGCTTTGAGGACTCTGTAAACATTCTGTGTCCGCCTATATTCCTGACACTGGTTGCTCTGAGGCTCCAAATCACGTTTTTTTAATCTTCAGGACAAAAATAATAAGAAGAATGGGTCCACACCCATCAAAATCAACTTGATGACCCATAATTACTTTTTATATCCCAAAACTTGAGACTTTTGCTTTACAGAATGTCTTTCCCACCTCCTTTTCAGTACGAAAACTAGCTGTGGGGATCTGCCTTTTTAGGCAGGCAACTAAAGAAGATCACACACGGGAAGGCTAGGGACCCCAGACTGACTGGTAAAGGCGGACGTTGGATTTCTGAATTTCGTCGGCTTTCTCGTCCGCCACGGCCTCTCGGAGCTCCCCATGCCTCTCCCCCAGCGCCGCGTTCATGATCTGCATCAGGTCAGGGCTGTCCTTCTCGTTGTCAATGATGCCAATCTGAGCACGACCCCCTCTCTCTCCGTCCCTGATGCTCCGGGCCAGGATCATTCCCTAGAAGGCAAAGGAACGATGGTGAGAAAGGCAGAAATGGGGACCTGCCTCTCCATCTCCCTGTGTTAGATGGTGGACGGTATCGGCCCACTGTTGCCTGCCATGACATATGATGGCCACACACACACACACACACACACACACCCCACTCTCTGGTTTATGAATGTGCGATACTGCGCTTCTGTACCCATGATTCAAAAACCCAGGAAATGGTACAGCTCAAAAAACAAACAAAAAAAACCCCCTTCCGTTCATGAATGTGAGATACTGTGCTTCTGCATCCATGATTCAAAAAGCCAGGAAATAGCTCAGTATTGTAGCCCAATATTGATGACCCAGAGGGTTGTCCCTTCCAGTTCTAAGATGATGATTCGGTTTCTAGGGAAGCTGTCTAACATGAAGATCCTGCCTTATCTCACTCGACACACTGCTCTGGTCTTTTGGAAGCAAAACACGGCCATGTCTTGGTAGCACCTTGGGAAGAGACACCCACCCAACCAAAATATCAGTGATCACTAGGCAAGGCTGGGAAATCATCCTGCCTGAAGCCCTGGAGAATTCCTGCCATTCAGAGTACAGTGGTGCCTCGCCAGACAGTTACCCCACATGACAGTTTTTTTGCTAGACATTGACTTTTTGCAATCGCTATAGCGATTCGCAAAACAGCGATTCCTATGGGGGAATTTCGCTGGACAAGGTTTGGTCCCTGCTTCGCAAACCAATTTTCACTAGATGACGATTTGCTTTTTGCTAGACAATGATTTCGCTAAACAGCGATTTCAGTGGAACGGATTATCATCGTCTAGCGAGGCACCACTGTACACAGTAATGGACTAGAAGCATCCTTACTGACTCCATTTTCACAGGGATGTGAAAAATCTCTGTCTATTTTGTTGTGTTTCTCAGAAACCCACTTCTGTTTTCTTCTGATCCAAGTTCTGCATCAGGTGGCAAGCATTATGAACCAGTCGAAGGCCAGCTTTCTAACAGGCCGCCCCTGTGTATTTTCGGAGAACCAACTTTATAGGGTCTTTCCTCCCACCTCTCACGAAGAGCGACCCACCCGGGACCTTGCTACTGACCCTCGACTTCTCGGCGATGTTGCAGGAGGGCCCGTTCCACTGGATGATCACTTTGCCAAGATCCAAGAGGAAGACGTCCCCTTTATTGAAGCTGTTCCAGGAAAGATCGACCTGGGAGGAAGCAGAAGGGTAATGGGGGATTCACAGGGAGCCACGTTCGAGGAGCATGCTGTGCAACCCCAGAGGTGGAGCGGCGTCGGTAAACAACGTTTTGAGCCCGCCAAACGGCACCACCCCCTTTGAGACAACTTTGCCCGTTCCTCTCGGACCAGTCACCTTGAACGACAGGGGATATTTATTTTTTTTGAAAAAGAGTACTTTCTCCTCTTGTTACCTCCGTAGCAGACACGTGCTTCTTCCCTTTGACATGAAGGAGGCGTTTGACGTTGTACATGTTGGTCTCCACATGCTTGAACCCTGAAGCGACTCCTCCTTTCTTGTAGCTGTTGGAAATAAGATGGGTTTAATGAAAGGGAAAGCCAGCGTTGTGTTTTTTGCAGTCTTGCATGCTGCCTTTAGTAGGCTTCGCTGGGAGGGACCTTTCTGAGCTGAGTCGGCTGTCAATCTATCCAGAAGTAACCAATCATTCTCTCCTGACTCTGATTTAAAGACAGCCCCACCTCTCTGCTCAGAGTCTCCCCCCCCTCTCTATAGCAGTTCGGTGGTCTGTTGCCTGAAGCAATCATGTTTGACAGTTTGCTGTTCTATCTGTTCAATGACAAGTAATGAAACTTTTTATTCTTTCTACTATTAATGTCTCAGAATCAGCTATTGGGACTGTAAGTGACAGTTAATGAGAAAAAATGGACTCATCTGGGGAACATAAAGCTATTCTACTCTGTCAGTTCCTGCACTTCTGCTCCACAGCGTGAGGAATTGAAGCAAAATTCAAAACTCTGCAACAGATGGTGTGTCCACCTAAGACTCTAGAGGTAAAGGCAAAGGCAAAGGTTCCTCTTGACATTTAGTCCAGTCATGTCCGACTCTAGGGCACGGTGCTCATCCCCGTCTCCAAGCCATAGAGCCAGCATTTTGTCCGTAGACAATTTCCATGGTCACATGACCAGCGTGACTAGACACAGAACACTGTGAGCTTCCCACCGAGGTGGTACCTATTTATCTACTCGTATTTTTACATGCTTTCAACCTGCTAGGTTGGCAGGAGCTGGGACAAGCGACGGGGGCTCACTCCGTTGCGTGGATTTGATCTTACGGCTGCTGGTCTTCCGACCTTGCAGCACAGAGGCTTCTGGGGGTTAACCTGCAGCACCACCCCATCCCTTTTTAGGACTCTAGAGACCTGGGTTCAAATTCCTCCTCAACAACAACAACTCACAAGGAGGAGGCCACAGTAAACCACTCCCTGAATATCTCAAAAAACCTTTGCTGTAAACAAATTCTCCCGACTTGTACTGCTTCTCCTGTATAAGCTCAACTAAAACTGGGTTGGATTTGCTACCTCCCTGCCATGGGTTTTCTCCACACTCACATGATGCCTTTCTTGAAGTAGCTTTTGAAAGCGGCCGATTCATGTCCTTGGACTTCCCTATGCTGCACAGGGTTGCCACCGAGCGCATCGTCCATCTGGGTCACGTAGAAAGCGGCTGCCCCCTGTTCATCCTGCGAGGAGTCGCGCCCGATCCAGTAATGCAGGTCAGTGGCAAAGCCGGTCCGTGTCTTGGTGTTCTGAGAGGAGAGGGACGAACACAACGTGAGCCGACGAGAGGCGAGACATTCGCTCTGTTTTGGACTCTCATGTTGCCTGTCACATAACTGTGAACACGAAAAGACTCATTTCGTGAACCTGTGTTCGCAAGGTTCGTCAACAGATATCTAAGCAAGCAAACATCTCTATAGATCTTAAAAGCGTTGACACCGGCACCGTCGACACCAAGCCCCTTCCCTCTTCTAAAAAAGAACACTTGGGTCAAAAGTTTGTATATCATGAGACCCATGGCCACAGTTGGAAAGCAGGCAATGAGAAATCAGGCGTTGTCTGTGCCTGTGGAAAGGTAGGTGTTATTTGTGATGGGAAACCCTTGCCTAAGGTGTGTTGTTGATTTCCTCTTGGGAAATCCCTCTTTAGCTCCCTGAAGAGTAGCTGTGTGAGAAAGGACATGCTTCCCAGAAAAACAATGCGTGCTCCGACACGCGCAGTGGCAACGTTTATGCCACGACTATTTTCACTCTCTCCGGCAAAGTAAACAATTCACCAAGCAGTGCTTAGGCGAGGCCTCCAGAGTGATGTGTGTGGCAGAAGACCAGTTTCGAGTCCACCGGGTGAGAAGGAAGAGCTGCGCACTTTTCAACTGTGCACAAAGGGGAACCGGAGCAGCAGAATCCTTAGTAGACACAGTACACAACAACACAGGCAATCCACACGTGAAACTAGAGCAGCCAGAATCCTGTTGGGATTCTACTCCTAAGTAAGTACAATCATGTCCGCTGGTCCCCAACCTTGGGCCTCCAGATGTTCTTGGACTGCAACTCCCAGAAGCCTTCAGCACCACCTCTGCTGGGCAGGATTTCTGGGAGTTGAAGTCCAAGAATATCTGGAGGCCTGATTGTAAACGGTGGTAGCAAATGGCAGCTAATTAACAGGTGGCGGGCACATGACCAAGCATGCCACTAGCACCCCATTAATTACTGGATTTTTCCGTATATAAGATGCCCCCATGTATAAGACGGCCCCCTTTTCTAACCCCAAATTAAGAAATCTAAGTGGGGCACTGCAGGATCACTTTGATCCCTGCTTTCCCCTCCACTTGTGTTTGTTCTGTCCTCAGCTTACTTCTGTGTATAAGATGACCCTCAATTTTTAGTCTAAAGATTTTAGACAAAAGTATAGTCTTATACACGGAAAAATACGGTAGCTGAAACATATGGCGAACAAGCACAAAAACTGCTATAAACAGTTATATTCATCTCTTGCTCTCTTCTGCCCCACAGAACCGGAGGATTCTGTCCCCTGGAGGTACTTACATTTAAGATGATATAACAGTCTCCTTCGAAGAAACTCCCATATGCCTTTTCGGGAACAGGCACCATTTTCATTTTCTAAAGCAAACAAAAAGCAGGAAGCTGTTGTCAAGAACACTGTCTTGAGTATGGATTGGAAAGTATAGATAAAAGAAGAATGTGACCATCCAAGGGAATGGAGAGATTAGTCACTATAGATACTCTGGTAAAAATGGCTATTTTTAACAAAGAACATTATCTTGAGGCTCTGTGTTTTAATGCTGGAAATTTAATCCTTCACCTAGGAATGTTGTGATGAGGAAGAAGGTATGTGGGCAGGGCCCGTGCAAAATTACGTATATTTCGAAAGAATCAACACAGGACAGAGCTGAGAAACCTTTATTTTTTTAGAGTAGGGTTCCCAGAGTCTGACCAGAGGATTTTGGGCGCTACCTCTGACACTTTCCTCATGTGAGCAACGACCATTTTGGGTACATAATCGTTTGGCTACCTGGCCGGGTTGCTACACTTTTAATAGCGAAGCAGGGAAGAAACACTGTCAAACTAGGGACCGAAGAATTTGAAAGAAAACGAATCAAGGATGCACAATGGAAGCAAGGAAGCCGGGAGGTAGCACAACGCAATGAGCCCAAGGCCAGCTAACCTGTCTCCACTGTTTCCAAATCTTTGGGGGGGGTCAGATTCTACTGAGCTAGCTGGGGTGCAGACAGATGGTGAGAAAGGTACACATTTGATCTCATCAGAAATTATTTCCTCACAGAGTTGAGTCAAATTCATGCTGGTAGCTTTGATGACCCTGTCCAGCCATCTCATCCTCTGTCGTCCCCTTCTCCTCTTGCCTTCACATTTTCCCAACAACAGGGTCTTTTCCAGAGAGTCTTCTCTTCTCATGAGATGGCCAAAGTATTGGAGCCTCGGCTTCAGGATCTGTCCTTCCAGTGAGCACTCAGGGTTGATTTCCTTCAATATGGACAGGTTTGATCTCCTTGCAGTCCAGGGGACTCTCAAGAGTCTCCTCCAGCACCACAATTCAAACTGCAGTACTTCAGCCAAATCTCTGCTCACAACCCAGGTTGAATCCCAGGTAGCCGGCTCAAGGTTCAGTCTGCCTTCCATCCTCCCAAGGTTGGTCAACCGAATACCTAGCTTGCTGGGGGAGCAGGGTCCGATGTATAGCCTTCATGAATAAATTGTAAACTGCCAAGAGAATGCTTTAAGAAGTATGGGTCAGCCTATAAGCAGCATGCTTTAGGTTTGGGTTGGGCTGGTGTTCAACCCCTTTCATGTTGTACGATGGCCAGGAAACAGCTCCCACTGGACCACACCGCAAGAGGTCCAAAATGTGAGTCATATGCCAGTGTGATCATGCCCTTAGTCATCTTTATGCAGATCAGCAGGTTACTGCCCAACCTTAACCACTTCACTCCTTTTTTCCCCACCCCTGGCTGACAATGAAACTGATAGAAATGGTCTTCAAAAATAAAGGAAGATGTATAGATGTCGAGAAAACATATCAGCAGAAAATTCTCTCTTTTGCACATTGATTAGAAGTGGAATGGAATGGAGTTTTACAGAGAAGAGCATGGTGGGTGAATGCTCAACGAGCGTGCTTCCTGCAACACTATTTTGCCATAAATACACACACTTTGTGAACCTTGATTTCTTTTGCCCCTGGCCAGCCTATTCAATCACTCCCCACTGAGCATCAAAGGGAATGGCTGCCTTCCAGCTGATGGAGTAAGATGTTTGGTACCTTGCCAAGAATTGCAACCCCCTCTTTGGTGAAACGGAACCACTGAAATTTCCATGCATGGTGGCAACCGTATCTTTGAAGATACGTCCTTCTCTGCGGAAGCCATTCGCCGTGCAAAGTTTTCCGCTTTGCCTTCCACAAGACTTGCAAAACTGGATGAACCGGTTGGTGGCCATCAGGAGCTAGAGATAATACGGATCTGAACAGGCTAATAGCCCACAGGGTGGAAACATGGCAAGCCTTAGGGTCTGTACACAGGCACGCCTAGATTCTTTCTACCTGTTTGTTTTATTCTGGATCAAACTGGTCAGCTGAATATTGCAGACTCCAGTTTGCCACAGGAAATGAGCAGCTGAAAAACAACCCTGTAGGGGATGATTCTAGGGTCAAAACTGCAGTTTTGTACCACCCACACCCTGCCTTTTTCTTCTTCTTCTTTTTTTTTTTACAGTTATGTGGTAGGAAGAAATTCAGGAAATCAGCTTTGCTCCCAAATCTGGCATTCCAAGGACCACTTTGCCAATATGAAATCATCGCGTTTTTGGCAGAGGAATGTGTGGCCATTCTATGGGAAGACAACCGTCGGCTTGTGGACCACAATTCGCCTGGTCACCAGAGGTGATTAAAAATGTCCTCCAGGAAACCAGTCAATGAAGTTTGATCGTTCGACTCTTAATGTTGTTTCCATTCATTAAGAAATGGCACCCATGTGCTCTGGGCCTGTTTTAGAACATGAGTAACGTTTGGAGACTTATTGTTCAAGGTTGTGAAAAACCCACACAAAACACTTATTTCCATTTCTGACAGGAGAACAGAGGTTCAGCTGCGAGAGCCTGTTTCTCAGACCACAAAGGCAGAATGGTATAGGACTCAGTCCAACTTTGTGTCAGATGGCAAGGAGATGAAGTCAGGAGATCTGTGAGAACAGAACACGCTGATCCGGGCAGTTCAGTAACAGCAACCCAGGGGGGAAAAATTGAGAGCGTGCGGCATAGCCCTACCTTTTCTAGAAAGACCGCTGTTATATAGGGAAGGGCATTCTGTCCTCCTGGCGGTGGTCAGACAGAGATTTCTGTTCCTCTGTTTGTTTGTTTTTAAAGGGGTGGGGGTGGGAGTCTTGGGGAAACCCAAGATTTTTAGGAATCCGGACTTGGAAACATTGCCAGCTGGACGACTCTGCCTGTACGGTGCATCGGCATCAAACGTGCATCCTTTTTTGCTCTCTATCCCAAAAACATCCCACGAAGCTCCGGTAGTCGAAACATGGCCATCAAGAGGTTTGTTACATAAAAAGCGCTTCTCTCCCTTGATTTCATTTCAGACCCACACTGCATATATTGGACGGCTCAGTGGGTTAGGCCTTTGGCTATGGAGCCAGAGGTTGGGAGTTCAATTCCCCCCACTCAGTTTTACCCTCCTAGGTGAAGGGCGAGCCTGTGTGGCCTTGGGCCAGCTGCACCGTCCCAGGGCACCCCAGAAAAAAAGGTGAATATTCTCTATCTGGAAAACCATTGAAAGGGTTGCCATAAGTCAGAATCGACTTAACACACATACACACACCCCTACACTAGAGTTTCTGAAAATAAAATTCTGGCTTTGATTCTTGTCATGGCTTCCAGAACACACCCATGTATCTGTGGACATAGGCAGTCAACACACGGCATGCATGAACTCTTGTCGATTTCTTTAAGTTTTTAAAAGAAAATTGTATTTATTTTTCATTTTAGATCACGAAACATTTTGTTGCTGTTAAAAGATGGTAGTAAAGGAGAGGTGGGTTGCCATGAGGATTTTTCTCAAATATCCAGGAGATCCAGGATATTTCACAAGCCACGACGGATGCCAAGTTTTAGACAACAACAAACAGATTGATGATCGTGTCATTTTGACCAGCTGTATATAAGTTGGTATAATTGAGTGGGTCGAATCCTCTGGCTTCAGCGTCAAGCACTGAATCCCTATTGTGCTCCCGGGAGAGGAGCCAGCCAAGGCCACTCAGTGCAGGCGTGAGGTAACCACCTGTCCTGCCACCTACGCAGCCTTGGGGAAACAGCCCGGTCCTAGAGCGCCCCCAGAAGGAAGGATGGAGAACCCACCTCTCTGTAGTTTATACCTTTAGGACTCTACAAGGGTTGCCACAAACTGCTCGACCGTACATAATTTATTTCTTTGCTGCAGCTATTTTTATTTTGTCCTAGCTGAAAGCTTCCAACTGGGCAGGTTTTACCTCAGACCTCCATTTCAAAGGGATGCCCCATCGTACTGAAACCAGTTTCTCCCAAATACAGGAATACTAAAAATCAACCATTCTTTCAGGGGTGAATAACTGGTATGGAAAAAAAATCACAGGGAAAACGTGCGGTACGGAGCGGGAGAAGATGGCTGTCAAATGGATGGTAGGACAACTACCAGTGACATCCGTGTAGAACCAGGTACTTAAGAGAAGAAATGCTCCCCCTAGGGCAGACACCCCCAACCTTGGGTCCCCCAGATGGTCTTGGACTACAACTCCCAGAAATCCTGGTCAACACAGCTAGTGGTGAAGGCTTCTGGGAGTTTTAGACCAAGACCATCTGGGGACCCAAGGTTGGGAACCATTTCTCTAGACTAACTAACAAACAAATTCAGTCAAATTTGATGCCTGTTTATCAGTTACTGGGGGGAAATATCTCAAAAAATTGAAGTCGCGTTCTATTTTTTATCCTTTGCTTCCTATTATGATAATGGGGCCACAATGATTGTAATACAGGAGGGCCGCAGTATCCGTGATGGCTCGGTTCCAGGACCCTCAATGCTAAAAAACATAGAAGTATTGAGCGCTATACTTTGTGTGGTATATATATTTAAATGAGAAGAATTCTATCTGTTTCAGCCAGACAGAACCCATGAAAGACACTGGCTGAACCAATACCTCTATGATCCATATCTGGAGGCCTTGTTTACGCTCAATGGGTGGAAGTCCAACCTCTGCTTCTGCATCAGCCATTCTTACTGGTTAAACTGGAAAACAAAAGAGAGAAGGTCCTGTAAATGTGTCTGGTAGGAAGCCACTTGGATCCATTTCAATGTCTTCCAACAACACTTTAAGTAGATAAAGCAGGCTTGGAAAATGAATAGAACTACTGCAGGGGAGGGGAGAGGAAATTCATTTTCTGTTCCTTTTCCTTGGTGGTTGTTTAAACCTCTTGTTCTTTGAAACCCAAATGCAAAGAAATTGGTGGTTCTTTTGAAAATTATTTGAAAGCAAGATGGAACCAAATTCCCTCCCCCCTCAACCCCTTCCCATCTTCAAGAAGTACAGTTGTCAAATTCAAGAAGTACAGTTGTTTCCAGCAAGGGAAGGGCAGCAGCTGAAGACAAGAAGGATCTCCATAAAACAGAGGCCACTGAATTCCTACTGCCTTGGATGAAAATGCAGGGATTGGAGCCTAGGATTTTTAATGATGTCAACGGAGTCTTAGGCCTGGATGGATGAAGCTGCTTGTTTCTGTTTTCCTGTATTAGATCTTTTCTTCCTAAAACTCAAGTCCTTCCCCTTTAGAACAGGAGGAAATGTATGAATTTGCATCAACAATGAAGCAAACTTCTTCCTAATGTCTAGCTTTAGCACCGACATCTTTACAATCTGCAGGAGTTAGTATGTTTGATGAATGTGGACATCATAAAATTGTGATCCATCACCCTTTCAATGCAGAAGATCTAGCGGCTGTCCGATAAACCGAAACAGAGAGCCGTTGAAATTGCGGGGAAGCCCTAATTACCCGGCGAATTAATTCTCAACCAAAGAAAGAGCACAGATTGTACAAGACATCCCTAATTATTAGGCCAAGAACAGCCTCAGAGCACATGGTCTTAGCTGGATTATGACGTGAATTATTAATTTTTAATTAACTTTGAATTGGCATCAGCTAACCTATAGGTTTTAATCTAAGCCCTAAATGGAGTGGGTCCAAGCTGACTCAAAGACCGTGTCTCCTACTAGGAGCCTGCTTGAGTGTTCAGATCATTGGGGAAGGCCTTCCTCTCGGTTCCACCCCCCTCACTGGTGCATCTGATGGGGACATAGGAGAGGGCCTCCTTGGTGGCATCTCCCAGACTTTGGAACTCCCTCCCACTGGAGGCCAGCCTGGCCCCATCTTTGCTGTCCTTCTGCAAGCAGGCAAAGACCTTTCTCTTTAGACAAGCTTTCTCTCAGTGACTGGCCACAGGAGTGACTTTTGTCATGCATTACCGCTCTGACTGGGTCTTTAGTACTACTCGTCATTACCATCTCTCAGTGGTATTTATTCATTTTTAGTATTTGCATCCTTGTTATTTTAGCCTTAATATGTTATTAACATTTTAATGACGGAAGCTGCCTCTTTTATGCTAATTGTTCTTAGCTTTCAATATTGTGTTTCTATGATTTGAACCACCATTGTCTACCCCTTGGTTTCAGCTTTCAGTATTGTCTTTTAATGAGGTAAGTGGCTGTAGATTTTTTTTAATGGTAGAGTAAAAATATTTTAAATAAAAACAAATAAAAATCACTTGCATGCAAGATGCCTTCTAAGGCGCACAACTGCACATGTGTGACTCCACCTCCCTCTGGGCAGCTTTTATTCCTCCCCTGCACAGCGATCGTTTTCAGCTTCCTGTCGAGATGGAACCCAGTGGGGGGCGGAGTCATGAGAATGAGAGGTGGAGCCCCACTCAGCTGGCTGCAAATTAGAGGGTACATTGGCCGCATGCTTTTGGCACCTACACCATAGCCAGGTAATCAATAGTCATTGTATTTTCCCAATAAGAAAGGATGCAGTAGCAAATTGGGATACATTCCTTTTTTGTTTCTTCTCTTGTTTCTCTCTTCCTTTCTTCCTTCCTTTTTCTTTTTTTCTTTTTTTTGGGGGGTGGGGTCTAAGATTCCAGAATCTTCCCAGCCAACACATATTTTGGATCAAAAAGGTAGCTTTCCTGCATTCTGATCCAGAGTACCCGTCTACAGAGGCTGATAACCAGTGGGGAAGTATTCATTTTTCCATGATAATCTTGGGCTGGAATCCCATCTGCATTTCTGTAAGGTGAACATATCTTGCCACGGCTAATTGTGGCTAATTGACAAGGTGATGGTGGCACATCTTGGTCATGCAATCAGGCGCAGGACCAGACATGGAACCAAGATAAGCCTCCACACATTATAAATCAGTGGCATTGAGCTGCAACATGTTACACAAATGGTTGTTGTGGGTTTTTCGGGCTCTTTGGCCGTGTTCTGAAGGTTGTTCTTCCTAACATTTCACCAGTCTCTGTGGCCGGCATCTTCAGAGGACAGCACTCTGTGCTCTGCTCACACTTACACAAACCTTAAGTGAACATCAACAAGATTTGGTAGTAGCTTTTTTGGAGGCACAACACAGATTTGCCACTTGAAATTTGTGTACAGTTCCAGTTTTTTCTCTATCACCATGAGGACTAGTGGCTTGCATCTCTAGATGTGAGATCCCCAGAATGCCAAACTCAGCAATAACTCCCTATCTACCCTCTATGGATTGACCAGTTGAGCAGCATAAATCATGTTAGGGATGTACGGAATACCTCTGTCTCTAGGGAAGACAACCAAAAGTGGCTTCGAAGCATGTGACCTGGTGAATCCATCTGTAAGATATCTGCCAGGTCCTTATGGACAGCAGAGTTTACCCAAGCGGCTGGAAATGGATCACATACAGCAAATAGATCCTTGCACGTCCAAAGTTTGAGATAAAGCACATCTAGTTTTTCCAGCAGCAGCACCTTAGAGCTTCTAGTTTCATTTTCACAGAGATTAGAAAAGTTATATCTTGGATTACAACTCCAAGAATCCCCGCACAGTCAGCATGGCCACTAGCCAGGGATTCTGGGCGCTGTAGTTAAAAAGAGAAAAGAAGATTGAAGGGCGATTGGATAGTACTTTTTAAAATACTTATGTGTCCTGCACTCTGGGATGATAGATAGATAGATAGATAGATAGATAGATAGATAGATAGATAGATA